ATTTTAATTTTGTTGACATTAAAGCGCTAAGAAATCTTACTCATATAAATAAGTAGATGGGAACAGAAGGAGTCTTGTTATATCATGAATTACTTCTCTGAATTTCTTTTAAAGTATATGTTCTTTGCCCTAGCCCAGTAACACAGATACTAAAATATAATTTTTAGATAGGTCATTATCACCTAACAATTCAATTCAATGAGGTATATTTTCTTTTTCTGAGACAGGGAGTCCTGCTGTGTCACCCAGGCTGGAGTGCAATTGTGAGATCTCAGCTCACTCCAAACTCTGCCTCCCAGGGTCAAGTGATTCTCCTGCCTTAGCCTTCTGAGTAGCTGGGATTACAGGTGCCCACCACCACGCCCGGCTCATTTTTGTATTTTTAGTAGTAACAAGGTTTTACCATGTTGGCCAGGCTAGTCTTGAACTCCTGACCTCGTGATCTGCCTGTCTTGGCCTCCAAAAGTGCTGGGATTGCAGGCGCGAGCCGCTGTGCCTAGCCTCAATCAGGTATATTTTCTTTCTTTTTTTTTTTTTTTTCTGAAAAGGAGTCTCCCTCTGTTACCCAAGTTGGAGTGCAATGGCACGATCTCAGCTCACTGCAACCTCTGCCTCCCAGGATAAAGTGATTCTCTTGCCTCAGTCTCCCAAATAGCTGGGACTATAGGCAGGCGCCAGCTCAGCTTACTATTTTTTGTATTTTTAGTAGAGACAGGGTTTCTCCGTGTTGGTCAGGCTGGTCTTGAATTCCTGACCTCAGGTGATCCACCCGCCTCGGCCTCCCAAACTGCTGGGATTACCTGGTATGAGCCACTGCACCCAGCCTTAATTAGGTATATTTTCAATTTTGCTAAAGGCAGAGAATTAGAAACCATCTATTTTACAAAAGAATCAGTAAGAATTACTTAAGCAGTCATTAGTCATTCAACTTCTTAATTTTGAGATAATGTAACAAAGAGGTTTATCAAGACATATTAAGAAACTTTCAATTATTCTTGCTACTCTTTCACCTACAGGTATCCTTTTTAGTTCAACATATTCAGCATGAGGAAAAAATGAAATACTGTCATTTTATTACATCTTTGGCATTTAATTTTTTAGAAAAAATTATTATTATTATTATTTTTTTGAGATGGAGTTTCGCTCTTGTTACCCAGGCTGGAGTGCAATGGCGTGATCTCGGCTCACCGCAACCTCCGCCTCCTGGGTTCAGGCAATTCTCCTGCCTCAGCCTCCTGAGTAACTGGGATTACAGGCACGCGCCACAATGCCCAGCTAATTTTTTGTATTTTTAGTAGAGACAGGGTTTCACCATGTTGACCAGGATGGTCTCGATCTCTTGACCTCGTGATCCACCCGCCTCGGCCTCCCAAAGTGCTGGGATTACAGGCTTGAGCCACCGTGCCCGGCCTCTTAGAAAAAATATTTTAATTTCAATATATGCTTTAAATATATTTTCATCAAATAATTTATTCAAAACAGCCAAATTGAACTTTCAGTCCTAAAATGTATTTTTTTTTTAATTAAGAAAAAAAAATAATAGTGGCTGAGGCTGGTGAGAGGTTTTTTGTGTTTTTTTTTTCCTTTTTTGAGACAGTTTTGCTCGTTACCCAGGCTGGAGTACAGCGGTGCAATCTCGGCTCACCACAACCTCCACCTCCTGGTTTCAAGCAATCCTCCTGCTTTAGCCTCCCGAGTAGCTGGGACTGTAGGCGTGTGTCACCAAGCCCCGCTAATTTTTATATTTTTAGTAGAGACGAGGTTTCACCGTGTTGACCAGAATGGTCTCGATCTCTTGACCTTGTGATTCACCCGCCTCGGCCTCCCAAAGTGCTGGGATTACAGGCGTGAGGACCGCGCCCGGCCATATTTTTTTTTTTTAATTTTATTTTTTCATCTGAGTTAACCTGTGTGTAGGCGACCTAAAATGTATTCTTTATTTCAAATAAATGTGATAATGCTAAATAAGGGGAAAATATATATATATATTTTTTTTTTGAGATGAAGTCTTGCTCTGTCACCAGGCTGGAGTTCAGTGGCATGATCTCGGCATACTGCAACCTCTGCCTCCTGGGTTCAAGCTATTCTCCTGCCTCAGCCACCCAGGTAACCAAGAATACAGGTGCACGCCGCCACGCATGTTTAGGAGAGACAGAATTTCACCGTATCGGCCGGCTGGTCTTGAACTCCTGATCTCGTGATCTGCCTGCTTCAGCCTCCCAAATTGCAGGGATTATAAGCATGAGCCACAGCAACAGGACTGTGATTTTAGTTTCTTAACAACTAACTGAGGAAATGACGCAGATGTTTTTCCCTGGGCTTTATCTGATCCATTCTGAAAATGTGTATTAAAAAAAGAAAATCAGTGTCACTAATATATACTGTTCAAGCTGTTAGAGTACAGAGAATTGAAAAGAACTATGTGCATTTAAATATGTGAAAGGCTGCTTCTGACTTTCAGAAACTCTTTCTTTGCACTGACTGGACTCTACCTTCAGAACTATGCACTCTTTGATAAAGAGGGATGAAAGAGGTAAGTCACCCTGCTTTATTGTCACGTTGTGTCTAAATTCAGGGTAGCTCAACACATGCCAAGACATCCAGCCAACTTGATTAAGAAGGAAATCCGGCTGGGTAAGGTGGCTCACATCTGTAATCCCAGCAGTTTGCGAGGCTGAGGGGGACGGATCATGAGGTCAGGAGTTTGAGAGTAGCCCGACCAACATGGCAAAACTTTGGCTCTACTAAAAATACAACAATTAGCCGGGTGTGGTGGTGCACGCCTCAGCTACTCAGCAGGCTGAGGCAGGAGATTTGCTTGAACCAAGGAGGCGGAGATTGCAGTGAGCCAAGATCATGCCACTGCACTCCAGTCTGGGCGACAAAGAGAGATTCTGTCTCAAAATAAATAAATAAATAAATAAATCAAAATAAATAAATAAATCAAAAGGCCTGGGTGCCGTGGCTCACGCCTGTAATCCCAGCACTTTCAGAGGCCAAGGCAGGTGAATCACGAGGTCAAGAGATTGAGATCATCCTGGCCAACATGGTGAAACCCCGTCTCTAGTTAAAATGTAAAAATTAGCTGGGTGTGGTGTCACACGCCTATAGTCCCAGCTTCTGAGGAGGCTGAGGCAGGAGAATCGCTTGAACCCAGGAGGAAGAGGTTTCAGTAAGCTGAGGTCTCGACACTGCACTCTAGCCTGGGCGACAGAGTGAGGCTCCATCTCAAAAAAAGGAAATCCGGCATAAGGATACCTTTGTTAGTAATCAAGGGAGGCTCCCCCATGCTTGGTACCCTGGTGTTCTGCAGCCCAGATGAGCACACAGTAAAAAGATGAGAGCAGAGCTGCCCTTCTTCTATGTCAAGTACAAGAAAGGTTATTTCAAATTTAAGTCAGTTCGCAGGCAGATCACCTTTAAAAAAATAAGCGGGGTGTGGTGGCTCATGTCTATAATCCTGACACTTTGGGAGGCCAAGGCAGGCAGATCACCTGAGGTCAGAAGTTTGAGACCAGCCTCGCCTACATTGTGAAACCCCATCTCTACTAAAAATACAAAAATTAGCTGGGCATGGTGGTGCGCACCTGTAATCCCAGCTACTCGGGAGCCTGGTGTGGGAGCATTGCTTGAACTCGGGAGGTGGAAGTTGCAGTGAGCCAAGATCAAGCACTGCACTCCAGCCGAGGCAAGAGAACAAGACTCCCTCTCAGAAAAAAAAGAAAGAAAGAAAACCATTGGTGGAAGCTGAGGATCTACAAAGTAAATCCATTAAAATATCAAGCTCAAGAACACCTTGAAGTCTTGGCTCAACCCCTGTACCTGCAGTAGGAGAATCACGGGGTTGGCACATAGTCAGCTAGTGCCATTTGTCCAGGGTCACACTGTCAGCTAGAACCAGCAATTTCATGTCTTCCCAACTCTTATTTTTTTGTTTTATTTTGAGACAGAGTCTCGCTCTGTTGCCCAGGCTGGAGTACAGTGACACAATCTAGGCTCACTGCAACCTCCACCTACTGGGTTCCAGTGATTCTCTTGTCTCAGCCTCCCCAGGAGCTGGGATTACAGGCGTGTGCTACCACACCTGGCTGATTTTTGTATTTTTAGTAGAGATGGGGTTTCACTGAGTTGGTCAGGCTGGTATCAAACTCCTGACCTTGTGATCTGCCTGCCTTGACTTCCCAAAGTGCTGGGGTTACAGACTTGAGCCAGCGTGCCCAGCTCAACTCTTGTTCTTTGAGTGTGCATACAACAGCATCTTCTCTACCAGATAAATCTGAAGACTTTTACCTTCTTTATCAAGATAAATTCTAAATGTTGTCAGTTTGAGGTGAAACTGTGGTGGTGTGTGGTATCTTTTCCATTTTAAAATTTTATTTTGAAATCACTGTTTCCTCCCTGATTAGATCCTGCTTATAGCATGTTTTCCAGTTCTGAAAGAGCTATAATTTGCCTGCCAAAAAATTCTTGAAGAATGTTAAAGGCATAACCTTACTTGTTCTAATTCTATTTAAGCCAAATGAAATACTAATATCAGACGAATTTTTATTGATCTGCATTACAATTTTAGTTTCTCATTTTTTCAGTAGAAGGCAGCTTTATTTGAGTAGAGTGAAACACTTCAAAATAGTACATATTTTAACAGATCATAACCTCAGCCATGCGTGCCACTCACACAGCATGCACAAACATTTAAAGAGGCTTTTAAAAACTCCTGGTGGTAGGAGAGCAGTTTGCCATTCATATACGTGTAATAAAAGACTGCTCCGGAGCCAGAGAATTTAGAGGCCTGTCTCTGCTGTTTAGTAATCATGTGGTGAGCTTTGGAAACCCACTGAAACTGGAGAAGCCTTAGATGTCTCCTCTGTACACCAGGGGTAAGAATATTTACCTACCTCGTACGGCTGGCATAAAAACAGAGGGTAATGCAGGCGTAGCCCCTCCCACAGGCCTAAACAGACAGATTGCTAAGAAGGTAATTTTCTCTACTAACAACTTACCAGAACCATATCCAGGTATTGGCCCTTTGGTTTGAAGGTCTGGGAGCCCCACATTCAATGCGTTGGGTACCATGTTGTCCAGATGCGGCTTGGGCCCGACGGGATGAGAGGGCGAGTGCTTCATGCCTGGCTGCCTCTGCTGCTGCTGCTGCTGCTGCTGCAGTGCACTCACCATTCGAGCCAGCTGGAGGCCAAGAGAGACGGACATGTGATAAGCACGGACCAGAATTTCCCAGGAGGAGACTGAGCCCAGTTCCTCTTTGCCATCAGAGGCTAAGCCGGGACACACTCCTCAAAGACAGCACTGGAGGGACCCTGCCCACCCATGTACCTGCTGCTCTTGCTGTTGGCGTACAGCTTGAGAAATCTTTCTCTGGTTCTGTAACAACTGCTGCTGTTGCTGCTGTTGCAAGAGAAGCTGACATGCCTACGAAACAAGGGGGAAAGACAGAGAACCAAAGTTTCCTGAGACTGATTTACTGAGAACACCTCGAGGGTCTGTGCACTGAAGTACAGGTCACATAGTCAAAAGTATCCAAGAGCGAAGTAACACCAAATTCCTGTTCTCTTGGTTACATTTTCCTCCAGTTGAGTTGACAACCCTTAAGCACACTCCATAGTTGGCATAAAAGTGTAGACTAGCACCCTTTGAACATAGAAAGAGGCAAAGATGCAGGAAGCAAATCAAAGCTAAAGAAAGAAAAAAAAAAATGACCCTTTAAATTACAGGAAGAAAATCTGCTACTTACCAACTGAAACTGGGGAATTTGTGGAAGCTGGCTCAGCATGGCGATTTGTTGAGGAGATAACTGGGGCCCCACATTGAAAAGACCTGGACTCAGGCCACTGCTGGGAAACTGCTTGAGCATTGAGGCAGAAACCTAGCCGAAAAAATTAAAAAGAAAGAAAGAAAAGGAATCTTTAGAATTTACAAAAATAAAACTTTTTTCCTGTGAAAAGAATCTTGATGAATCTAAAGCAAGTGTTCTCAAACTTTTCTGTGAAAAATATGTAACGGGAAAAATACACTGAAGTGTTAACAATGGTTATCCTGGAGGAGTGCAATGACAAGAGTTTTAAAATTTTCTTCTTAGACTTTCCAGTTTTCTACAATAAATAGTATAAATTGTATATTCAGGAAAACATCTTCAAGGAAAGAAATTGATGACAATATGACTTTTATCCAATTAAGAAATTATTACTGGAAGTGTGTCATAAAACAAAACATACTAAATTGCATAAAGCTAATAAATAACACTACGTGAAAGTATTTCTGTGATACAAATAAGACAAATATACTAACTTGTAAATAGGAGACTAAGTTTCAACTCATGGCTTCTGATAGCAAACACCCACAGAGTGGTAGTGTAAAAAGAGAGCCAGCATAAAAGAGCCTGGAAGGGCTGGGTGAGGTGGCTCACGCCTGTAATTCCAGCATTTTGGGAGGCTGAGGTGGGTGGACCACGAGGTCAGGAGATCAAGACTGACCTGGCCAAGATGGTGAAACTCCATCTTTACTAAAAATACAAAACTTAGCTGGGCATGGTGGTGTATGCCTGTAGTCCCAGCTACTCAGGAGGCTGAGGCAGGAGAATCGCCTGAACCTGGGAGGTGGAGGTTGCAGTGAACCAAGATGGTGCCACTGCACTCCAGCTGGGTGACAGAGAGAGACACCAGCTTAAAAAAAAAAAAAAAAAAAGTTTGGAAGGTCACTGGCTTGACAGGGTCCTTCTCCCTGTTCTCAGGAGTGAGCTAGACTAGGCTGCAGGACACTCTGGGACAGAGAAAGGATTCCCTCCCATTGCTGGTTTGCTCCTCTAAGATGATCTAAGTAAGCAGAAATGAGTTTCCCTGCATTCTCATCTACTGAACCCACTGGACCAGTTGGGGCCATGGAGAACAAATGTGAGAACACGCCCATGAGTGCCAAGTTGTGTAGCACACTAGTCAAGACTTTAGTTCTACAGGCTGGGCACAGTGGCTCACGTCTGTAATCCCAGCAGTTTGGGAGAAATGTCAGCACCTAGGAGATTGAGAACACCTGTGCAACATAGCAAGACCCACACCACCGCCCCCCTCCCCGCCCCCATCTCTTAAAAAAAAAAAAAAAGGTTAAAAAAAGACTTTAGTTCTTGGGGCCACATTTGGTGGCTCACATCTATAATCCCAGCACTTTGGGAGACTGAGGCGGGCGGATCATCTGATGTCGGGAGTTGGAGACTAGCCTGACCAACATGGAGAAACCCTGTCTCTACTAAAAATACAAACATTAGCTGGGCATGGTAGCGCATGCCTGTAATCCCAGCTACTTGGGAGGCTGAGGCAGGAGAATCGCTTAAACCTGGGAGGCGCAGGTTGCAGTGAGCCAAGATCACGCCATTACTCTCCAGCTTGGGCAATAAGAGCAAAACTCTGTCTCAGGAAAAAAAAAAAAAAAAAAAAAAAAGACTCTTATTCTAGAGGCAGACTGCCTGAGCTTTTAATCCCAGCTCTGCCGGCCTCTCCATTTTTTTTTTTTTTGAGACAGGGTCTCACTCTGTCACCCAGTCTGGAATGTGGTGGTGTGATCACGGCTCATGGCAGCCTTGACCTCCCGGCTGGTCTCAAACTCCCGGGCTCAAGCCATCATCTCAAAGTGCTGGGATTACATGTATGAGCCACCACTCCCAGCCCAGCTCTGCCATTCTAAGCTGACTCAGGGCAAGTTACTTATTTAGCCTTTCTGACCCTTACTTTCCTGATATCCAACTGAAATGACAACAATATTAACTTTAGTCATTATTAGATTTTATGAATTAATCCACATCAAATGCTTAAGAGATGTTCTCCATAAATGTTCACATTGTTCCATACGCTGGTTCTTCAAATGTCTTCAGACGATGAATACAGTTCCCTTGCATCTCATCTTCAGGCTGAATATGATCAGTTCGTTCACTTGTATCTTCTTCCACTTCTCAGTGAAGAGCCAAGAACAGAAAATTCTAGAGTAGTCTAACACCAAGCAAACCTGGCCATACCTAACCATTCTGTTAAAAGTCATGCTTTCATTAATAATGCCTAAGATGTCACTCTCTCTGGTGATCACAGCTGTCGATTCACACACTAAGCTTAATGTCAGTTAAAATCTCTAATATTTAAAAATATGCTTTTGTTCCCTTACGTAATATTTAAGCTACGTAGTGGGGTTTTAAGTTTTTATTAATTTATTTTTTATTCGAGCTTAAGACCTTACATATATCTTTACGAGCATGGCATATAGTAGATGCTCCATAAATATCTATTAAATGAATGAACCACTATCATATGTAACTTAAGACACTCCACCAAGTTCTCGTTGATCCTATTCTACCTATTTCCAGTTTGTGTTCCCCAGTCCCGTCACGGATGGGAATGCTGAACTTGATAGAGCTGAGGATAATCTAGTCACATGCTACTAAAGCTTCCTTCCAATATGAAACGATCAGCCTGGGAATCGTCAATCATTTACTAATCCACACAACTGCTTTCATGTTTAGCCAATATATTTCCAGCTAGTCAAAAACAGACAGCTTGTCAAACGGCCTGTTAGAGATACAACAACTATATCATTCTTCTATGCCAGTATTTTTACCAGTCAATGAAGGAAGTGAATGAAAACTTGTTAGCAAACTATGATAATTAATTACTGCCATATGTACTTTTGATTGATAATCTAGATTCTTTCCTGAAATTGGGACCAAGTTAATCAGTCTTTTAGCTACTTTTTCCTTATTTCTCCTTTCAGAAATCATTTAAAAAATTTCCCCAGGCTGGGCATGGTGGTTCCCGCCTGTAATCCCAGCACTTTGGGAAGCGGAATCAGGCAGATCACTTGAGGCCAGGAGTTTGAGATCAGCTTGGCCAACATGGCAAAACCGTGTCTCTACCAAAAATACAAAAACTAGCTGGGCATGGTGGCAAACGCCTGTAATCCCAGCCACTCAGGAAGCTGAGGCACGAGAATCACCTGAATCCAGGTGGTGGAGGTTACAGTAAGCAGAGATCATGCCACTGCACTCCAGCCTGGAAGCCACAGTGAAACACCATGAAAAAAAAAATTCCCCTTTCTTCTCACTTGCTTATAGCTTCTTTCCCATTTCTGATCTGAGGCTCCATACAGAAGACATCCATGTTTATTTTAACACAGCACTCAAGGCCTCTTTCCCCTTCTTGGAAGCAAGCCTGGAGAGAGGGCTGCCCCATTCCAGTGACTCCTGGTTAAGGCTAGAATTCAGTAGCAGGAAGTGTACACGTTCTCCAGTATCTGCTTTATTGGTAGTAAAGGGGATACAGTGACCACAATATGTTTTCCTCTTTTGCCTTAAACATTCAGAATGCAGGCAGGAAAGATGGGTGTCATTATTAAACTCCCCTTGAAGACTCCCAAAATTTCTCAAAAATTGTGGACAGGGCTCTGCAATTCTTTTCATAAATTCTTTCTCTGCTCTAGGATCTGTCTTAGCTCTTTTGGTTTGAACATCCTTCTTCTTAACAGAAAAGACAAAAGCAACAAAAATTTTACCTCCACACCGTAATCCCTGGGCATTATACAACTAGTCCAAGGCAATGATTCTATTTTAACAGATGTACTCAATTAGAAGTTTCTTTTAATCCACCTTTTTTTTTTTTTTTTTTGCAAGTCTCAGCTTACTCTGCGTTTTATTCATCCTTGCTTTTATCCCCTTACTATCCATTTTCTGAAAATGTCCCATTATAAACTAAGTTTATCAGAAAGCTTCCCCATCCCTATTGGATCTTCTCATTTTATCATTCTTTGAGAGCATGGTCAGAATGAAATTCCTCAGTTTCCTAATACTTTTGATCCACCATCTCTGCTACATTGTCAAGAATACATGCCTATCTTTTCTTTCTTTTTTTTTTTGGAAACAAAGTCTTGCTCTGTTGCCCAGGCTGGAATGCAGTGGTGCAGTCTTGGCTGACTGTAACCCCCAACACCTGGGCTCAAATGATTCTCCTGCTTCAGCCTCCTGAGTAACTGGGATTACAGGCGCCTGCCACCTCCCCGGCTAATTTTTTTTTTGTATTTTTAGTAGAGGTGGGGTTTCACCATGTTGGCCAGGCTGGTCTTGAACTCCTGACAGGTGATCCGCCCACCTCTGCCTCCCGAAGTGCTGGGATTACAGGCATGAGCCACCGCACCTGGCCTTTCTTTTCTTTGACACTCTTGTAGTCTAGAAACATTTGACCAAGTTCAGGTTTCCTGTATTTGGCTTACCAACTAATTTTCTCTCAAGATCTGTCACTTTCACTCTACCCATCAATTCTATCATTTTGGAAAGTACTCTAATTTCAAGTAATAGTTCCCCCAGCTGCTTCCTCTCTATCCTCTAAGAGATGCTGAGTGTTACCAACCAATTTAAAAATCTGTTTAACTTTCTATTTTAACAGATGTACTCAAGGCAGACGTGAGCACCAAGTAAGCACACCACTACAGGGCATGGCTGCCCCTCCACCAGTTTTAGGACAAGCATAAGGAACACAGCCTCCACAATTTCCCCCAAATAACAACTCCTCTTCATCCTCAGCTTTGAATTCACGCAAAATGTCACCAGTGTAACTTAACTTCCTATCTCTGATGTAATAAGTTTGAACTCACTATAATTTGAGTCTGGGGGCAAGGAGGGTGAGTACAATATATGCTGTGCTATCAAAACCATGTTCCAACCGGAATCTTATCCTATTACGCCTCAATGACCCATAAAATCTTATGTACCATCTTCAGTGTGATTCTTAAATTCACTTGAGTTAGCAACTGTATTTGGCTACATAGTGTTCTCCGTAAATTCATGCCCACTGGGAACTTCAGAATGTGGTTTCATTGGGAATAGGGTCTTTGTAGGTG